TGGTGCTGGGGAATCGAACCCAGGGCCTCATGCAAGGCAAGTGCTCTACCACTGAGCCACCTTTCCAGCCCATGGTTAACTTCTTATGAAGAAGATGTAAACAGTTAAAAATTTCTGTTAAAAAAATGTTACATGTAAAACACATTATGGAGCCTGTGGAACTCACAGGTTTTTACCAGCTTGAGGGTATGCATGAAGTGCTTTCATTGTAGGAGCAACTTTTGCTTTAATTCACTTTTCTACTGTATTTGATGCTGCCTATAAGAGATCCATTATCCTCACATCATTCCATACAACCGGCCCCCCAGTACATGTTGAATGATCCTTGCAGCTTATATGAGTTTGATAATACAAGCAAATTGCAATAGTGAGCAGTTGGTCAGTCTATTAAATTAACTTGGCTGTCATCACTTTCTAGGAAATAGTTTAGAATTAAGAATACTTCTGGGGGGCTGGAAAGCTGGCTCAGTGGTAGAGCGCTTGCCTTGCATGCATGAAGCCCTGGGTTCGGTTCCTCAGCACCACATAAGCAGAAAAAGCTGGAAGTGGAACTGTGGCTCAAGTGGTAGAGTGCTAGCCTTGAGCTGAAGAGCTGAGGGACAGCACTCAGGCCCAGAGTTCAGGACCCATGACCAGGAAAAAAAAAAGAATACTTCTGGGGCTGGGCACTGGTGGCTCATGCCTGTAATTCTAACTATTTCCAGGAGGCTGAAATCTGAGGGTCAAGTGATGTTTTAAAGCCAGCTAGAGCAGGAAAGACTCTTAGTTTCAATTAACCACCAGAAAAACTGGAAGTAGAGCTGTGGCTCAAAGTGGTAGAGCACTAGCCTTGAGCAAAAAGAGTTCAGGGACAGCACTCAGGCCCTGAATTCAAGCCCTATGACCCCCCCACCAAAAAAAAAACCTTTTGGTTGTTTTAAAAATAATTTTTATGGGGGCTGAGAAGGTGGCTCAGTGGTAGAGCGCTTGCCTTGCATGCATGAGGCCCTCGGTTCAATTTCTCAGTACCACGTACACAGAAAAAGGCAGAAGTGGCGCTGTGGCTCAAGTGTTAGAGCGCTAGCCTTGAGCTGAAGAGCTGAGGGACAGCACCCAGGCCCACAGTTCAGGCTCCACGACCGGACCCAAAAAAAAAAAATCATTTTTATTACTGTATATTAATTGTATGAAATGGTTCCTTTTGGGCAGTACTGGGGTTTGATCCTAATTAGGGCCTGAGCTTTTAGGCAGACACTCTGTTAAACCACACCACTAGACTTTTGTTTTTGTTGTTGTTCATATCTTTGACAGAACCTCAATTCCTGCCAAATGCTGGGTCTTCCTGTTAGGCTTCTCTTGGTTGGATAAGTGGGTGGGTGTCACCAGGTCTAGCTCTCCTTTTGGGTATTGTGGACTTTTCTGCCGGGTTTGGCGTGGAACCACTGTCCTCCCAATCTCAGTCTGTATGGAGCTAGTATTATAGGTTTTTGAGTCACTGGCACTGGGCTCAAAAAACATTTAAAAAACAGCAATCTCAACCTCAGATACTTCCTCAAGGAACGGTTTTGTTAGCGAGTTGTCTTGCAGTTACACACGTGCAGACGAGCAACTTTAAAGCTTTCACTTAAAATTCTGCACGGAGTGCTGAAGGCTAATGTTTCTCATTTATGACAGGACAGTTGAAATCAGTCTTTCTTAGTGGGAAAGGGAAAGCTGTCCATTCATTTTCTCACTGGAGAATTCCTGGTATAGAGAGCCATCTATACCAGAAAACAATAGCCCACCTCATTGACGCATTGGTTCTTGAGGTATGCTGGGGCAGAAAGCAAGATGGAGAAGCACTGGGCTAAATGATTTATCTGCTTTAAAGTAGCATGGTGCCATGTGTCTTAACAATGAGAGTGTACAAGTCATGCCATACTTTCCAGACAAGATGACCATTTTTTAGTTGGCATCTCAATATTCTGATAATCACTTTTTTTTGTCTGCATTTTTATAGGAACAGAGAAGAAACAGGTTAGCAAGAGAATTGCCTTCAGCTGTATCACGGGACAAGGTAAAAAACAACAGCTTTTTAAAAGCATACTTCTAATTCCCAAAAATGGATTGTTAGTAAGCCTCAGAATATTACACAGTTGCAGAATCAACTTTGGTTGTGTAGCTGAAGAAAGGTATGTAAGTTTAACATAGACTGAATAATTTAAAGATAATTGTATTAGAATACACTGCAGTTAAGTTAGCTTAAAGATGCTTAGGAAGTATGAGGGCTTCCTTTAAAAAAAAATCATCAAAAGGTTTTTTTTTTTTTGACGAGGGAAGACTACTGTATGCACAGAACAGGTTTTAATTAATAATAAGTAGTTTGTGTATTAAAGTGTGTGTATATACAATCTGTTGCCTTGAATTCTTTGCCAGAAAAGATCTCATTCAGTGCCAAAAACAAAATGAAGCTTTTGGATTTTTCTTAGGTATTCATCTGAAGAAAACTTTTCACAAAGGTAGTGAGGCCGACTAGACCACTTTACCTGTCCCATAATTTTTGTTTTTCATGTATTTTAATATTGTTTCAGAGGGGAAACAGATCACATTGATCAATTGTTTGAGTACACTTTTGGCATCTTTGTTTTTGTTTTTATTTTTTTCCTGCATTTTTTACCCGTAGTCTTCTAAAGTTCCAAGTGCTTTGGCACCTGCCTCCCAGGAGCCCGCCCCTGCCGCTTCTGCCGAGGCTGATGGCAAGGTCTGTTCTAATTTTAATCTAAGCCTGCATGCCTGCTTGTTCGCTGCAACATAATCTTCTACAGACAGCACACTGAATAGAAGACTATTAATATGGGGTATTATGCTAAGGTTAAATCACTTGTCTAATTGAAGCTTTGAAATTCTATAACACTGCATTCTTTACAAATGTTGGCATGCTTTTGCTTGCAATGTAGAAGATGCACACACAAAAGAAGTAATTTAAAGAGGAAACTATCCTGCGTTTTTATTTTTAAGCCATTGGTATTTAAATTTTGCTTGTTAAATTGCATGTTTTAACATATCTTTTAACAGTTAATTCAGGAGAGCAGAAGAGAAACTAAAAATGTGAGTCTCTTGCTTCAGAATGGAAATACCTTTGGTTCTCACTGAAACACTGTCTTCAAAGTCATTGAAACTTGTTTGTACAGTGGCTTCACCAGTTCCTGTCTGTTATGTTCTTAATGTTCCTTTTATCTAACACATGTAAGGTGGCACTAACTGTTTTAACACTGTTTAATAACAATAGGCTTTCATACTGTTACCAAAATTAAAAACTGTTCTTGAAGGTAAGGAATTATGATTTCAGAGATGGAAATTGGCCGAGTGCTGGTGACTCATGCCTCTAATCCTGGTTAGTCAGGAGGCTAAGATCTGAGGATGGTGGCTCAGAGCCAGCTCAGGCAAGAAACAAGTCTTGAGACATTTATCTCCAATTAAGGACAATGCTGGAAGTGGGGCTCTGACTCAAGTGGTAGAGTGCTAGCCTTGAGTGAAAAAGGTAAGGGACAGCACCTGGCCCTGGGTTCAGGCTCTACTACCAGTATAAATTTTGGTAGGGATTTCACAGGTGGAAATTATACTTTTGAGCATTTCTGAGATCTGACCAGGACTCATGGATAATCCTCTAATGCTGCTTTATCATGCTACTCATTTGTGTGTGTGTGTCACTGTGAATATGTGCATTCCCTCACACTGGCTTTAAATGCTTACCTGAGCCAATTAAAACAAATGTGGACTGTGAGTTTAGACAGCTGTCAATTCCTGATGACCATTTCTGCAGGAATTTCTATGTTTGAACCAGTTTGTCCGGCATTTACCTCCTTTCCTTACTTAGTATGCAGACTTACGGTTGTAAATCTCATAGCCTTAAGAATGTTTTATTTTAATGCATGTACTGACAACCACTTAAGTCATCCATAGCACCCCTTGGAATGTGCTCATTCACTTCCTTAGGGTTTCACTCATCACTCATTCCCTTTTAACTCACGGATACATAGCTCACTTTTAACATATCAGAGGCAGATTTGGGCCAGTGGTTCAATTTGAAAATGATACCCAACACTGCCATTTTCTTATAACTACTGTAAAAGTAGTTAGTAACTGACTTTTGAAAGTGGTCCTAAAAACATCTTCAGTAACAGTCATTTTCTTTTTTGAGAAGTTAAGACTGTAATCAGTATCTCAGATAATAAAGTTGCAGTAGCACTAGCCTTGTTGTAATTAGGTATAGAGACCTGTATCATGGAACACGATATGAGAGTTGAACTTTTCAGGGTGAACTGAGACTGAGCTAAGTGGACAGCTCTAGGTGTCCTTGTGGGTGGCTTTAGCTTTGCCTGCAATCTAGTGGTTGAGGGGTGGGAGAACAGTAAATAATACAGGACCCGGAGGGCCTTCTCCACCCTCTCATTTCTGTAGCACAGGCTCCTGGGCATACAGTGCCACCCCCAGTCTCTCTGGGACCCTGCTGTCTGACCAAGCTCCAATGGGCATTGGGGTTCTTGGGTAATGTCAACTTCCATGGATAGTTGGTACAGGTGTTGGGAAACTATATTTACAGGTTGCATCAGGAGGTGGTGGGATTGGAGACAGTGGTCAAGAACCAGCAACAGGCAACTGGAGGGGAATGCTGAAAACTTCAAAAGCTGAAGAATTATTAGCTGAAGAAAAATCGAAGCCAATTCCAGTTATGCCAGCTAGCCCCCAAAAGGGCCATGCTGTCAACCTGCTGGATGTGGTAAGCCATGAGAATTGGGGTGATACTTCCCACATGATCAAGCTATGGGGAACACACTTGGGAAGAACTAAAGTCTTAGAAGCTTCACATTTTCCCCCTCTTGTGTTAGTCATTTTTCTTTTATTAACTGTTAAATGTCACTTTTCAATGTTCAATGTCACCATTTTAGAATGGCACAAGCAACATTTCCCCTTTGTCTCATTTAGCCAGTTCCTGTTGCACGAAAGCTTTCTGCCCGTGAACAGCGCGACTGTGAGGTTATTGAACGACTCATCAAATCCTATTTTCTTATTGTCAGAAAGAATATTCAAGACAGGTTCGTACTGTATAATACAGACAACAGATGGGTACACTGCTGGTTGAGTCCATGATCTGTTTTGATAACACTTATATTTAAAAGTTGTGTATGGGTTTGAAGTATGGCTAAAGTACTACAGCACCTACCTGGGAAACACAAGGTTGAGTTCTAGCCTCAGCTTCACTAAAAAGGGGGAGGGGTCATTTTTTGGTAACTGGCAGCAAGATTCAGTCTGTTATAACTAGGAACCACTGGGTATTAAGAATTGAATGGGCTTGGGAAGCATAGTGTGACAGAGGCGCTTGGAATATTTAAGAGTTAAAAAGAGTGGGTAGCAGTCATGGTAGTCTGTCTCTAATCCCAGCTACTAGGAAGATAGAGGATCAATGTCAGCCTAGGCAGTTAATGTTAAGACCCATATCTGAAGGACAGCCAAAGGACTGCAGAGAAGTAGCTCAAGTGGTAAGCCCTGAGTTCAATCCCCAAGTGTTTTCTTTTTCTTTTTTTTGAATAGCTGAGGAACTCAAAAGCCTGGGGCTTGAACTCTGGATATCATCCTGTAGCTTTTTCACTCTAAGCTTGAGCCACAGCTCCACTTCCCTTCCAGCTTATTGGTTAATTAGAAGTCTCAAACTTTTTTGCCTGGGCTAGCTTTGAACCATGATCCTGCCTCCTGAGTAGGTAGGATTACGTGGCTTTGAGCTTTTGATCCTCCTAACCCTACAGTGTGCTGGAAGTAGTCATATACCGCCACTAAGAAGTTTTTTTAACCTTTAATAATTCTGGCTAGGTAACAAATGACTTACCTTTTTAATTACTTGATAAATGTCTCTCATGTGTGTATTGCCTGTAGTTTCTTCTCCCATGTTCATTACAGTGTTATTTCATGCAGTAGTAGGGAGAAGAAAATTTAGATGTGTAAAGTGATGTATTAGAAAAAACATTTTATGGGCTGGGAAGGTGGCTCAGTGATAGAGCACTTGCCTTGTACAGGGCCCTGGGTTCCATTCCTCAGCACCACATAAGCAGAAAAAGCTGCAAGACAGCGTCCAGGCCGAGTTCAAGTCCCACAACTGACCAAAAAAAAATCTTATCCAATTTGTGGTAACCTGTTAGTAGGTAAGAGAAACTTCATTGTACCAAGGAATAAAAAGCCAGATGGGATAGGCACTGGTGGCTCATGCCTGTAATCCTAGCTACTCAGGAGGCTGAGATCTGAGGATCTCAGTTCAAAACCAGCCCAGGTAGGAAAGTCCGAGAGACTCTTACCTCCAGTTAACCACCAGAAAACTGGAAATGGTGCTATGGCTCAAGTAGTAGTGTTCACTTTGAGCTGAAGAGCTCAGGCCCAGAATTCAAACCCCACGACCAACAAGAAACACACACACACACAAAAGCTAGATGGCCTGATACTTTTATGTGGAATGTTGTAGAACCAGTTACCACCAGACTTTTAACTTGCAGCAGAAACTAAAGAGAAAAAAAAAAAAAACGGCTTTTCCAGACCTTAGGCTTTGTTTACTCCAAGCCAGGCACTGGTGGCTCACGCTTAGCAACTCAGGAGGCTGGGATCTGAGGGTCACAGTTTAAAGCCAGCCTAGGCAAGAAAATCTGAGACTGTTTTGAAACCCCAGAAGTGTGACCAAGCGGTAGAGTGCCAGACTTTTAACAAAAAGCTCAGGAACAGGTGTCCAGCCCCAAGGTTCAAGCCCCAGTACTGGCAAAAAATTTAAAAAATCTACAGGTAAGTGCAGGGATTCTGCACCTATCAGTGTCAGCAGAAGCTGCTAGCTTGCCCTCACCCTGACTTGTCACCTGAGAATCTACTGGCTCTGGACATTGGTATATGACTTTGGGGGGGGGTGAGGGGAGGGGGTCCAGTCGTGAGGCCTGAACTCTGGGCCTGGGCACTGTACCTCAGCTCTTCAGCTCAAGGCTAGTGCTCTACCACTTGAGCCACAGTGCCGTTTCTGGCTTTTTTCTTACGTGGTGCTGAGGAATCGAACCCAGGGCCTCAGGCATGCAAGGCAAGCGTTCTACCACTGAGCCACCTTCCCAGCACCTGGTATCTGCTTATCCTAATTTCTCTGGAGGCTGTCGGCTGGGGCAGGAAAAGTCTGTGACAAACTATTCTCAGACTAACCATCAAAAAAGCAGGAAGAAAAAGGGCACCAGTGGCTCATGCCTTTAATCTTAGCTTCTCAGGAGGCTGAGATCTAAGGATCAAGGTTTAAAGCCAGCCAGGGCAGCAAAGTCTGTGAGACTCTTATCTCCAGTAAACCACCAGAAAACCAGAAGTGGCGCTGTGACTCAAGTGGTACTACATCAGTACCTGTCATAGCTAATCAGTATTAAAATAAATATGAATATGCTGTATATTGTGTGCCCATTCACCAGTACTTGGATGTTTGAGCTTTCTTGCATTTTGGACTATTACAAAGTTCATTACTGAGATTTAATAAATATATGGGATGGGATACTGATAAATGAGATGAAGGTAAAATAAAATACCAAAATTAAACAGGGCCCCTAGTTTAAGCCCCAGGACTGTTCAAATTATTTAGCTTTATAACTTTGTCTTGCAGTGTGCCAAAGGCAGTAATGCACTTTTTGGTTAATCATGTGAAAGATACTCTCCAGAGTGAGTTAGTAGGACAATTGTACAAGTCCTCCTTACTGGATGACCTTCTGACTGAATCTGAGGATATGGCACAGCGGAGGAAAGAAGCAGCTGATATGCTAAAGGTATTATTCCAACTTTTATACTTGGGGTATCAAAAAGTTTTAGATTAATTCTGATTCTTGTGTTTTCTAGTCTTTATATTTCTAGGTTTTTCTTTCTGTTAGTACTTGACTAAATATGTTCCTAGCTACTCAGATAATCTTAGGTACTCAGGGTAATCCTACTAAAGATAATCCTAGCTACTCAGGAGGACTTCCTGGTAGGAAATTTCTTGAGACTCATTTTGGAAGTAGAACTATGTATGGCACAAGTGGTAAAGTGCTAGCTAGCCTGGAGCAAAAAGCTGAGGGACAGAGCCTAGGAACAGCACCCAAAAATAAATTATGTACAAAGTCAACATAAAAAATTGGGAGAAATTTCTCCACAGAATTCAGATTCATGTAATCATTTTTTACTTCCTTCTATGCAGGCATTACAAGGAGCTAGTCAAATTATTGCTGAAATCCGAGAGACTCACCTCTGGTGAAGAGATGTATATGAAACAGACTTTTCGGCTCAAAACGTGCTAGTTACTGCCTACTTGAGTAGAATTGTATGAACTGTGTTTCGCAACGGTATGAATCTGCTCATGTGAAGATTGGCTATATAAATGAGAAGTGTACCTTGCATTACAGAACAAATCACACATTTAATCCAGATAATAAATGGCTGTTTCTATAAAGTTTTCCCGTATACATACATATATATATATATGTATATATGAAGTCTGTCTTGTGACAGTTTCATCTGAACTTAAGAGACCTATCCATGTTCTAGTTGTACAAAGTTTGCCTGTGAGGAAGATGACCTGTGTAAGCTTGTTCGTCTTAAAGCTGCTACATAGTCCTTCAGGAAGACAATGCACATACTATACAACTGGCTGTGAAAGGTGAGGGCTGGCAATCTCCTCAGTCACTGACCGTCATTGTACAGTTTAAATCTCTGCAATTGTAGTTAGCAAACTGAAGGCACACATGGATCTGGAGCCCTGGTGGAGAGTGGATTCAAATTCACTCTCACACTTCAACCTGAAAGCAAGCATTAGGGACTTCCTGCATTAAAAACAGTAGGGCTTGGTAATGATAGCCAGTTCACTCTGCAAATCCCAAAATAGTAAATCAGATATATCCATACAATGGTCACCTTCTCATGTTCTGAGATTGCCTTTATGTGGGAATTCAAATCCAGTTTATTCACTGTATTAGCTGGTAGTAGCTACCAACTACATTAGCAGTGACTGGGGAATACCAGCCAAGCTTGGTTCTTCAGAGAAAAACACCCAGACGCCCACGCGCACGCGCGCGCATACACACACACACACAGTGACTACATTGCATTCAGAAGGTGGAGCTGTTTGCAACACCATACATACACATTAAGAAAATTATGTATCATGAACACAACTTTCCAAGTTTTTATGAAGGATTTTGTTAGAGAAAACATGAACAGCTTATGGTCCCCATTTACCAAGAAATAACTGGTTCCAAGTGATCTCAAACACAGAAAGCCCAAACAAGTCTGATAGGACATCTTTGAATCCATTCAGTGAATGCATGCTGCCAAAATGTTGGCATGCACACACACAAAACCAGCTTTGAAAGTGGAGCTACCCGTGACTTCTCTCAGATGGACCAGACGATTTACCATAGCAGCCTTTTGAGTTTACAACAAAAATTTACAATGCGCCTCTTTTCTTTTCTGCCCATCACATTTCAAGTTCAAGATGTAAGCTTTCAAAACATGCTGGGCACCTGCTGGTACTACACACTGTACAAACCAGAAGCAAGAAATTTCAAGAACACCGGCCTTGCTGGTTCTTAAAAGTGTGAGGTGGAAATGATCTCCGGCATATTTATAATACTGTATGTTCTTGCTATGTAAATAAAATTGCTGGTATAGAATGACATTCAAGTTTGTCAATAAATGAATTCCTCTTAACATGTCTCAGAAGCATTTAAATGAACTTATAACTTTACTTTGTGCCACTCTGATTTTCTGGTGGTTAATTGCAGGTGAGAGTCTCACCAGGACTTTCCTTCCCAGGCTGGTTCTGGATCCTCAGGTCTCAGCCTCTTATCTCGGACTACAGACATGAGCCACAAGTGTTTCAGTACCCACTAGTTTAGCTCATCCTGTATCAAAAACTTTTATGACTACCTTTTCTAGAAATCTTACAATTCACTGAGGTATCCTTGCATACATTTCTGCATATGAAGTAGTAAGCTATACTGCTGCTTGTAGGAAAATGGGTCATTTTCTGCAATTCACTTGATCCTCAGGAAAACAGGATTGTTAGTACCTTTATTTTTCAAATGTGCAATCAGTTCTGGAGACTTAATTTGCAAACTATGTACAGCTGAACAAATCTGATTACAGATCTTTTAGGTTTGACCTGAAAACTTTATTTCCAGTCCTGAACTCAGGGTCTTGAACTCAGGGTCTGGGCAATGTCTCTGAGCTGCTTTTGCTCAAGGCTAGAATTCTACCACTTGAGCCACAGCCACATCTGGCCTTTTCTGTGTATGTGGTACTAAGGAACCAAACCCAGGGCTTCATGCGTGCTACGCACATTCCCAGCCCAAATGAATCTCTTTTGTTGTCTCATGATTGCATAGCTGGTGAAATACTTTTGTTTCTTTGATTCCTTTTTAGTCCAACTCTGGTTATAAGCTTGCTGAAGGACAAAAGATAAATTTCTGAATTGATAAAATATTTCTACTATAGGAATCTAGTCAAGAAACTCATGTAATATCTAATGGTAACTGTGACCTCATCTAACTTTTTTTGGGGGGGGGTACGGTCGAGGGGCCTGAACTCTGGGCCTGGGTGCTGTCCCTCAGCTCTTCAGCTCAAGGCTAGCACTCAGTTACCATTTGAGCCTCAGTGCCACTTTCGGCTTTTTTCTTTTTTGCTTATGTGGTGCTGAGGAATTGAACCCAGGGCCTCAGGCATGCAAGGCAAGCGCTCTACCACTGAGCCACTTTCCCAGCCCCCTCATCTAACTTTTTAAGAACTATTTTCTTGTTAAAAGTTAAAGACATTTACGTTCCCAAGAATATATCATTTTTTTCCTCCATCGATTATATTTAAATATTCTTAAGTTGTATATTTCAGATTTAATTTACTTCATAGATTTTCTGAGCACAACTGCATTCACAGGTAAAACATCATGATTATTTGTTTGCCCATTCTTCTCTCTTTTCTTTCCCAAATAACCTCCTTCAGGTATGGTTCAAGGTAGAATTTATCCTCTTCATATTTTGTCCACTGCTCCTTAGGCAAGATGCCTCGTGGTAAGGCCCAGAGCTCTCTTGATCCGAGACATCCTGCCATAAAGTTTCTCAGGAAGCCTTCTATGGCTTCTTTTACATCTTCGGTCTCGTGTATGGTATCATCTCTCATTAACCCCAGTTTGTTGAATTCTGCAGCAATGTAATACCATTTTCGAACACCAGCCACCATTCAAGGCTGAAACAGCAGACCTGCCCGCCATTGTGACTCAAGAACGAAGCGAGGCAGAACATACCATTTCTAATACAGAAGCGCAGCTAGATTTTAGCCTGAGAGTGATCTGAACCTAGCAAGATGCTCTACCATTTAGCCACAGCTCCAGCACAGCATGGCTAATTATAAAAGAACCATAGAACATAGTGAAATGAGTGAGCTCTATAACGCAGTAAATGTGTATCAGTTCCGTGCCTGTCACTATCACTCCCACAAGGAGGATAGGACAGAAAAGACAATCCGGGAGGATTTTCTTAAGTTTAACCTTGGAAATCATGGTTTTATACAAGTCAATTATCTGCCAAGAAATAAATCATTAAATAAAAAACCTTATTAACAAGTCCTTAAAAAATAATTTACTCACATTCTCAGGCCTAGTGTATTCTTCATTCTATTTTGTACTGAACCAAACCAAGTATTTTAAGAATGAAGTTAAGCCAAGTGCCTGTGGCTCATGCCTGGAATCTTAGCTATTGAGGAAGCTGAGATTTGAGGATTGTGGTTCACAGACAGCCTGGGCAAGAATGTCTAAGGTATGAGACTCTTACCTCTGATGAACTTCCAAAAGGTCAGTAGAGTTGCGGCTCAAGTGGAAGAGTGATAGCCTTAAGCATGAAAGCTTGGGGACAGTATTAAGGCCCAGAATTCAAATCCCAGGGCCAGCAAACCCCCACACACACAAAAAAAAAGCCAGATGTTTCTCTGGAGTCTGAGAAGCCCAGGAAGGAAAGTCCATGAGACTCATCTCCAATTAATCACATAGTAAACAGACCTGTAGTCCAAGTGGTAAGGCATAACTCTTCAACAAAAAGTTTAGGGACAGCTCCCAGGCCCTGAATTCAAGTCTCAGGATGAGCATGTCTGAACAGCCAAAAACAGAATTTTTATAACTGAAGCCACTTTATAATGTAGAAATTTCTTTTCCCTATTTTAAGTAAAGAAAGTCCATTCTTAAGAATATGTTGTCCAACAACTAAAACACACTCAGGATTTGTTACCGGTCTGTGATTGATACTGACTCCGCCTTCTGTTATCATCCGATACCTAAAAACAGAAATGCTTAGTTATTAGAGGAAACACTTTCTCCTCCTCCAAAAGATACTACTTCACAACTTTAAAGCTTTTCAGTTGAAACCACTTAGTACAGTGTGTGTGCGCCCAAGCACTCAGTGTGGTGTGTGTGCACGCATGCACTGGTACTAGGTTTGAACTACTGGCATTTTCACTCGAGCACTTGAGCCACACCTCCTGCTTGTGGCTGCTAACTGGACATGAGTCTTACACTTTCTTGCCTGGGCTGGCTTTGCACTGAGATCCTCAGATGTTTCCATCCTCAGTAGCTAGGATTATAGGTGTGAGCTACCAGTACCTGGCAGCTGTATTTCTTACCTTCATGTTCACAATTAGATTTTCTTGCCTTTAATAACCTTCCAATAGAGCAAATATAAGGGAACGTAGTGACTTTTCTATTGGGTAGAGAGAAAGAGCTGGGCTATCTCACAACCTATTCACAGATCTATTCACAGTAGAGTGTTTCTCACCCACCTTAAGAAAAATCAAAGAAAAGAAACTTGTAAAAACCAAAGAGGTATTGGGCACTGGTCACACCTGTAATCCTAGTTACTAAGAAGGCTGAGATTTGAGGACTGAGGTTCAAAGCCAGCACAGGCAGGCAAGTTTGTGAGACTTACCTCCAATTAAACACAAAAAGCCAGAAGTGGAGTTGTGGCTCAAGTTTTAGAGTGCTATCCCTGAGCATAAAAGCTCAGTGACAGCTTTCAGGCCAGGCCCTGAATTTAAGCCCCAAGACCAGAACAAAAACACAAAACAAAAGAAACAAACAAAAAAACCATACAACCAAAAACCTCATCAACACCAAAACTGTGTTTTTTTAAATTTAATTTTATTTTTTTTGGGGTCCGGTCGTGGGGCCTGACTGTGGACCTGGGCGCTGTCCCTCAGCTCTTCAGCTCAAGGCTAGCCCTTTACCACTAGAGCCACAACGCCACTTCCGGCTTTTTTTCTTTTTGCTTATGTGGTGCTGGAGAATCGAACCCAGGGCCTCATGCATGTAAGGCAAGTGCTCTACCACTGAGCCACCTTCCCAGCCCAACACCAAGACTTTGTATTTATGGACAAGAAGTACACTGTTCAGTTCCAGAGTGTTAACATTTTGTTAACGTATACAGATCAACCCTATTTAGTTGACACAATGTAAGAAAATGATGAGTGTTCCTTAAGAATACTAATACTGGCTAAATCTGGGATACTTAAAAGTTGGGGCAAAATTCAGCAAATACATCATTAAAACAATTCATAAAGGAAAAATGCTTCCCCAGTGAATTCTTTTTGTGCCACTCTAGGATCTTGAACTCAGGGCCTGGGCATGCTGGCACTGTTAAGGAGTTTTTTTTGCTCAAGGCTAGTGCTCTACCACTTTGAGCCACAGCTCCAATTCCAGTTTTCTGGTGGTTAACTGGAGAGAAGAGTCTTACAGGCTTTCCTGCTTGGTCTGGCTTCAAACTGCAATCCTTAGATCTCAGGCTCCTAAGTAGCTAGGGATTACAGGTGTGAGCTACCAGCACCAGGCTGTGAAGAAAACCCTTAAAGTATGGGCTGGGAAGGTGGCTCAGTGGTAGAGTACTTGCCTTGCATGCATGAGGCCCTGGGTTTGATTCCTCAGCACCACATAAGCAGAAAAAAACAGAAGTGGCTCTGTGGCTTAAGTGGTAGAACACTAGCCTTGAGCTGAAGAGCTGAGGGACAGCGCCCAGGCCCAGAGTTCAGGCCCCACAACTGACCCCCAAAAAAAAAAAACAAAAAACCTTAAAGTCAATGACTCACTGTTGAAAGTATATGACAGCAGCCTCAAAGTCAGTGACTACTAAATAAATCAGCCTATCTGGGAGTCAGTTACACGAAGTATACCCACAAGGCAACAATGGGCTTTCTTTACATATATGCATTTGAGGGCTCTTTACAACAGAGGCAATCAATCCAAAACAACTGGAAGAGAACAAAGTATAGCAAATATCATTCACCACAGTAACAATGGCAGATGATGTGTGCTAAAACTCCCATAGATGAGGCACCCAAGGTCTTCAACTTTTCTCTCAACCTATCACTATTCAGTTATAAATGGATGAACACCAATTATATGCCAAATTATTTCTAGTACAGCAAAAGTATATGCCCTGAAGCCAGGCACCAATGGCTCATACCTATAATCCTAGCTAGTCAGGAAGCTGAGATCTGAGGATTTCAGTATGAAACCAACCCAGGCAAGAAGGTGAAACTCATGAGACTCATCTCCAATTATCTACCAAAAAAGCTGGAAGGGGCACTGTGGCTGAAGTGGCAAATCACTAGTCTTGAGCAGCTCCAGGACAGTGTCCAGACCTTGAGTTCAAACCCAAGACCAATGTACACTCACACTCCCACCAAGTATATGCACTAATAACAAAACTGAGCAATTAAAACAGTCTATTTCCTGAAAAAGAAATATGCAGTTCTCTAGGGAAATACTTCATATTTTATAAGCCTTAGCATGCTATATCAGGCTAATTTCATTTTCAGAACTTCAAATCATATTTAAAATATACTGGGAGCCAGATGCTGGTGGCTCAAGCCTAAAATCAATTCTAGCTACTTAGGAAACTGAGCTCTGACGATCATGGTTCGAAGCCAGAGGGGGCAGGAAAAGTCTATGTGACTCTTATCTCCAATAAACCATCAAAAAGCTGGAAGTGGAGCTATGGCTCAAGTGGTATAGGGTTAGCCTAGAGCAAGAAGCTCATGAACAGTGCCCAAGCCTTGAGTTCAAGTCACAGAACACCAAGAAAACAACAAAAAATATATATACTATGGTACTGAACATAGGTCCTACTGGCTCACACTGCTGCTTAGGAGGCTGAGATCTGAGGATGGTTGTTTGATGCCAGCCCAGGCATCAAACATGTGCAAAGACTTTTATCTCCAATTAACCATGAAAAAACTAGAAGTGGAACAGTGGCTCAAGTGGTAGAACACCAGCCTTGAATGAAAAAGCTAAGGGACAATAGCACCCAGACCCTGAGTGCAAGTCCCCAGTATTGTAATTCACAGGAAGTTTAAGGGATTTTCAACAATAAGTACTGTTTCCACTTCATTCACGGACTAAACTAACTTCTACAAGAGATGCCACTAAAGCCTTCTCCAGAAAGCACTCTCTCTGGGAGCATGTGGTACAAATTTTAACACCCAGTATGAACCAAGGAGATAAATCATCTCACCCCCGGGGACCATCTGGAATGGCTTTTGCTTTGCGACACGTGTCCAGGACACTTGTTCCAGGGTCAAGAACTAACTCTGAAAAGGAAGCTTCTTTAAACAACTCTTTTAACTCTTCATCCGACATGACCTCCAGTGCATCGATGCTGCTATTATACAGGGCATGCGTACACCTGGAAAACATTTTAAAGGCCACAGCAGGTAAGTATGTAATGGTAAATGCTCACACCCATTGACCAAGTGTGGAGGGTCCATTATGTTCCATACATAAAGTTACTCAAAGATCTTCACCTAACTTGTGTATTCACAAGATCATTTTCCTACCTCCCCCAAAAAACACATAAAGCACTAAAGTCAAATGTTGGCAATCTTATTCAATAATTAAATGGCAAGATAATCACAAAACAGCATAGCTCCCAATATTCTCAAGTCTATGAGAGAGAAACCATTCTGAAGGTCACCTCTTGGCAGAATCCAGCCCTTCCTGTCCATGAACCAGCTTTGTCACTTCTGCAGCAAGTCGTTTCTGAGCACCTCGCTTTTCTGGTTCTGTGGTGTGCAGCTGCATAATGTGATCGATCTCTGGAAGGGGCAGAAAAGTGAAGAGCTTCAGGTACCTTCAGGAGAAGAAAAGTGTTACACAGTTATCACACATTTATCTCCAGCCTCCTCACACTTTTAAACTTTTTTCCCCCTTTCTTTTTTGTGCAGATCCTGGGGCTTGAACTTAGGGCTTTCCCTCTTGCTTTTCCACTCAAAGCTAGCTAGCACTCTATCACTTAAGCCACAGCTCCACTTTTGCCTTTTAGGTGGTTAAATTTGAGATAAAAGTCTCACAGATTTTCCTGCCTGGGCTGGCTTCAAACTGTGATCTTCAGATAGCAGTATCCTGAGTGGCTAGGACTGGTATGAGACACCGGTGCCCAACTAAACTATATCTTTATTATTATTTTTTGGGTCTGGTCATGGGGCCTGAACTCTGGGCCTCGGCACTGTCCCTCAGCTCTTCAGCTTAAGTCTAGCACGCTACCACTTGAGCCTTAGCACCACTTCCAGCTTTTTTTCCTGCTTATGTGGTGCTGAGGAATTGAACCCAGGGCCTTAGGCATGCAAGGCAAGCGCTCTACCACTGAGCCACCTTCCCAGCCCCTAAACTGTATTTTTAAATCTGAAAAATAAACACGCAGAAGGTACTGCCAATAAATACACTATTCAGATTGAAGATATTCCTTTTTCTTGTGCTATCAGTATTAGAGTTTGAACACTGGACCATACACTCTTCCTTAGCTTTTCCATTCATGGCAAGTGCTCTGGCACTTGAGCCACACCTGCACCTCTGGATTTTTGCTGGTTAATGGGAGCTAAGAGTCTCAGACTCTCCTGCCCTGGTTGACTTTGAGCCTTGATCCTCAGATTTCAGCTCAGAGTCCTGAGTAGCTAGGATCACAATCATTGAGCCTCCAGCAAGTACTACTATTTTTTTCTTTAATCACATTTGGCTTTGAGCTTTCTTTTCTAAAAGCAGAGAAATGGTATAAACACACAGCCCTGTCCCTGTCCCATTCCCTTCCTGGCCCCTACAGATAACCACTAATCTAAATTTGTTTCCATCCTTCTCAAGGATGTTTGTATACTTTGGTGTGTACCTATTAAAAAAGAAAAAGCATTATTTAAAAACAGAAACAGTATTCCATACCTTTTCTTTGGTAATAGGACTTGAACTCTGGGCCTGGGCACTGTCCCTCAGCTCTTCAGTTTAAGGATAGCACTTTACCACTTGAGCCACAGCACGTTTTTGGTGGTTTCTTGGAAATAAGAGTCTCACGGACTTCCCTGCCTGGGTTGGCTTTGAACCATCCTCAGATCTCAGCCCCTTGAGTAGCTAGGATTACAGGTGTGAGCCACCAGCACCCAGCTCATACCTTCTTAAGATTCTTTGGTAAAATTTAACAGGTTGAAACAAGTACATTGAAGGAGTAAGGAAGAGTATGGAGGCGGCCAGACTGATTGGAATTACATTGTATACTTGTGTTTAAATGTCACAATGAAATCTTCCCTGTATAACTAATGTAGCCAATGAAAAAAATAAACAAGTATATCATATACTTACATTGTCACTATGAGGCAAACACCTATGTAACCACCACCACCTTGGTTAAGAAAATCATTAGCATTCATAATCCCACCTACTCAGAAGGCTAAGATCTGAGGATCAAGGTTCAAGGCTGTCCGAGGGAAACAAATCCTTGGGACTTCTCCAATTAACCACGAGAAAGCCAGAAGCGGAGGTCTGGCTCAAGTGATAAAGAGTATCAGCCTTGAGTAGAAAAGCCAAGCAAGAAGGCAAGGCCCCCGAGTTCAAGTCTCAGTACTGATGTATTAAAAGTAATTAGAAAGGGTACAGAGATTCACTGACTAAAACAGTTATCATGAGGGTTGGTGGCATGGCTCACAGAGTAAAACTATCCAGCAAATGCAAAGCCCTGAGTTCAAACCCCTGTACTACACAAACAAAACAATAAAAACAATGTAACAAGCACATATTACTTTTTCACAGCCAGCTCTTAAAAACTCACCTTTCTACACAATCATCTTGCTGTCTGACAAAGAATTGATACAATTCAAAAGGAGAGGTTCTGTCTCTGTTCAGCCACAGGGCATTGCCAGCTGATTTTCCTAGCTTTGCACCGGTTGTGCTGGTAATCAGAGGGACCGTGATTCCAAACACGTCTTCTCCAGTCACCCTGTGCAAAGAGAATTTCATGATACAATTCAAGCATGAGTACCAGCAGATCCCGCCACCACCCTGCGCCAGTTCACTCCAGTTATCTGCTGCAACGAAGGCCTTGGCCTTGCAGCTGGGTCCTGGTGGCTCACACCTGTAATCCCAGCTCCTCAGGAAGCTGAGATCTGAGGATCTTAGTCAAATCCGGCTCAACCAGGAAAAGTCTGAAACATTTTTTTTTTGGGGGGGGGGTCCAGTCATGGGGCCTGAGAGCTGTCCCTCAGCTCTTCAGCTCAAGGCTAGCCCTCTACCACTTGAGCCACAGCGCC